AATAATAATAATAATAATAATAATAATAATAATAATAATAATAATAACTGTTCGAAATGTCTAACGTATCTTAATTATTCTGTTTTTTTGTCAAATAATAGTCAGTCTCCTGGTAGCATCGACGATCATCACGCCTCGTTGACCACTGATACAAACGCGTGGCCTGCATTCGGTAAATGCATTCCAATTAACACCGACTCGGTTAACAAATAAACATTATTATTTCCACGGTGCATCGTCGTGACTTCTTGCGACGATAGATTCGACGTATTCATGTTTCACCCAATCGTCAGATGCATCACACGTCTGACCGAATGCACTGTCTCGACATTTTTCCGGGTAGAGTTAATTGATTGCTGCGGTTTGGCTTTCGAGCAACAATTCGTAGCAGCGAGAGAATGTCGATTGGCTAGGACGAAGTCACGTGACGGTCAGTCATCGAAGGTCATGACCATCACTGATCCCCTCGGCGGCGTCCTTGGAAAAATTTCATCCCACGTTACATTAGTAATATTGCGACAAGTTACGAAGCGGATCAATGGATCCCTCTGTTATTCTCAATGCCAACCCGCAATCAAATTTTATTGCACACGTCCACGTCGGTCGCGTTTCTGCTGACCGTTATATGAATTCATACTTTTTCTCTATTGGCGAACACCACTGGTACGAACGTGTTCAACCGTTGTCAACTCGGCGAACGTTCACTGACTTATTACTGTCTAACTCCTTGTCCTTCATCGTAAACAAATAACAACGTCGTACAGAATCCGAACGATTTGACACGGGATCACTGGCAACAGACGCTCGAGGCATTAATAGTCGTGGCCGCCTGGTCGGTGGGCCGAATCAGCTGACGAGAGTTCACCGGTGATGTTCACGGGGCGTTTGATCAGTGAGAAATCGCCCACCCCGCGCTCGATACCCGACAAGGATTGAGCATAGCGATTCAACCAAGACGCGTCGACACGTTACATGCTGCATCGGCCTTGACACGAGCCGAGTACTACCCCGTGCAGTCCAGTGACAAACACGCACACGCGCCAACCTCAAGAGTACACCGCTCTTCGTGGAACATGGAAAAACGAGCAATAACAACCCCGTCGACGGGTGTACACCAGGTTCCAGTCGTGAACAAAAAAAAAAAAAGGTCACGAGGACTCCGGTGAATGGGAAATGGCGGAGTCCGGATAACGTGACACACAGTGGGTCGTGCCGGGCTGTTCAGTCTACTGGTTTTTCACTTGTGCGAGGAGCCAGCTCGCAGCCCCGTACTGCGGTACATCGTAGCAGTTTTCTTTGGTGCTCCGCCACCCCTTGCTCTCCCTCTCTCTCTCCCTCTCCTCACCGATCCCATTCCACCCCTCTCTTTCATTCCCTCTCCATTCGTCGAACGTCGCCTCTCTTCGTCGCGCACACGTTTCGTCCTAACGACGCGACCTCCTCGCACCAGAGAGGAATTTCCTCTCTCTGCTCGCACACAGCCGATCTTCCTGTCCGTCTCGCTCCAGACGGAGTATGAGAGCACGTACGGTGCACACAGGCACATGGCGCCACGGTTGCCAAGGCGACTGCGCCACGGGATGCTTCGCATTTCGGTTTCACCGATCACCGTTTACGTCCGGGATCCTTACTGCCAAACTGGAGATCTCCTAGAGATAAATCGTCCTGATCCTTCTAACCCGCGTCTCACACGTGTCGTTGACAGCCTTTCGGTGTTCTTGAGAAATCTTCTAGGACAGTGAGTGTTCCGAGTAATTTGCATATGGAGTAGAAAATCTGTCTTAACGATGATGAATCGACGTCGTGCCTTAGTATGTCATTATGCAATATTTCATACACTTGAGGGTAGCTCCACGTTCTACTCGATGGCCAAATATAAATTTGTTAAGATAAAAACACTATAGTTTGTGAGATTCCTTTTAGAAATCAATCACTTATTTATTTGCTACCCTATATATTCTTATTTAATTAATTCAATTTATAAATTGATTGAGTCCATGTATGAGTGATCGAAGGTCGTAAACATTGAAAGTGACGTTATTTTCGAGTAAATAGAGATGAATGGGTGGTCAGAGTACAGC